AAATTAGTCATACAGAGGAAAGGCATTTCTCACCAGCAAAGCTATATTGAAGAATATTAAAGTGAGTTATTGAGGCAGTAGGAAGCTATACTAGAGTTAAACAAGTACATTAAAGGAGAATACAGTATAGTGAGAGGGAGAATACAGGTAATATACATAAATGTTACAGAAAGAAAATAATACACTGTAAAGATAGACACATGTGTAGATTAAAATGCAAGGTAACTATAACAAGTCCAGGAAAGAAGGAAAGTTAATGTATAGTAACCACTAGACAAGAATGAAAATAATATTTAATTAGTTAACTAATAAATGTAATAATGGGAGCAGATTAATAAAAGTCAAGAAAAAGGAGGAAAATCATATCAAATACCTTTTATAATTCAGATAAATAGAAGTTGACTATATAAATCCACATGCAATTGAAATCAACAAACAAAAGGTCAACTACAGAATCCTTCCAAGACTAGTGTAGAGCAGAAGACAGCTGAAGATGAAGTAAACCATGAAAATCCCAACAGAAAGCTCGTTCAGTCAACAGTGTCAGAAAACTTTGAAAATGAAGAGCTATTTTATAAAACCAACAGGGTTTCTTCTGTTGTAGTCTCCCACAACATAAAGCCATGTGCAATCAATAGGAGATTGGTCTTGGTCTTGTTTGTTCTACACAGGAGCTCACTCTGTAGCTCTGGCTTGGCTGGAACTTACTTATCCCTATAATCTTCAACAGTTAGAAATTATTTTAGAAACACATTTTTTTTTAAGAAAAATTTAGTTTAGCTAAGAGAAATAAACATTGATGAAGCTGAAGACTAAACTAACAGAGAAAAAGAATCTCTACTGAAAGTTTACCCCCAAGGAAATTTCCATGTCCAGATGTCTTAAGTAACCAACACATTGGAACATTAAGGAAGAATTACTACTAATTTCACAGAAAATCTTTTGGGCAACAGAAAAAGAGGAAGCATTTCAAATGTTGTGTTATAAAGCCTTATTACCCACACCTGTCACTACTATGAAAGAAAATTCTAGATCAGTCTTCTTATAAACATGAATGGAGAAGTCCTAAATAGGGCCAAGCAAATTAATCAAGCACTATGTAGAGAAATTGACTCATTAGAGACATTATCATGGACCCCAGGTGATCTTAACAGATTTACAAAAATAAGGAGAATTATAGAATCCTTCTTTATTTCCTAACAATGCTGAGGAAAATTACCTTAGTTTTGTAGAGATGTATAAAAAGAATGGTCACAAACTGTCCAATCAACAAAATGAGAATTTGGATTTAAGACTCCTTGAAAGCGAGTAGGTAAACGATTGCTTTAACAGTTTGACAATGTATGTCTCCTTTTTTTTTAAAGATTAATTACTTTCTTTTTTTTAAGAAAATTTTTTTATTCATTTTACATACCAATCAAAGATCACCCACCCCTCCAGCCTCTCCTTCCCAACCTAGTCCCCATTCCCTTCTTCAAGAAGTTTGTAAAGCCTCCTGTCGGAAGGTACATTTAGTGGAGGCAGGCCCAAGCCCTTCCTCCTGCCTCAAGGCTGTGTGAGGTCCCATCATAGGTAGTGGGCTCCAAAAAGCCTGATCGTGCACCAGGATTGGATTCTGATGCTACTGCCAGGGGGCCACACGTCTTACAATAGCAATTATGTAGTTTCTTGGTGCTGTGAACTGATGTGCACCAAATACAACTCTGTTAGGGATAGCTTGCTGTTATGAACTCCTGAGCACCTAGACCAGGTCCATTCAGAAAGCACAGCAAAGAAGCTTCCAGATGACTTTATAGACCAGACATTTACATTCCTCCCTGAACTGCTCAGTATTTCTCTTTTGGTACTCCAAGAGTTATGGAGATGACAAAAGTTGTTTTTCTAGATTCCAGGTCCACAATGTTTGGTTCAATGCTTTTTGCTTCACAACATTATTTCACATAGTCTTTTCATTAAAGGCAATTAAATGAAATTGAATTTATAGTACATCTTAATAGCAAAAATCTCAGTAAGAATTATTAAAATTTTTCACATGCATTATGTCCATTAGGGGCTATGCCCCTGCACTGGCAAGTACCTCTGTACCAAAACAACAGATGAAAAGAAAAGTCAGATACAAGTGGGCGCGGATAAAGAACATGACATCATGAAGGCTAAAGGTATGAAGCTCTTAAAGTTCAGAAAGACAGAGGCAGCGATTTCTTACACACACTATCAAAGGACAAATTTACAAAAATGAACCTCTACCAAACTGTATAAGCTTTCTGTGTCAAAGTGTACTATCGGAAAGTGAAGAAAAAACTGGGAGGATACAAACAGCACTGTTGTCATAGTGGCAAACTGGGAATGACTAGTCCAGGTTCACTACTAAGACAGTTAAATTATATTGTTATATGAAACAACATCTTGTCATGAGAATGGACAAAACACTACTGTCTCCAAAGTGTGGATGACTCATCAACCACATTTTGAACCAAAGAACTCACAAAGTTGAGAATACAGTATGCATCCGTTTATAAAACATTACAATCCACTATGAGAGTGTGACTCAGTTAAGGCACTAGCTTAGCATGTGGGAGACCCATCCTCCATTCCTTCCCCACAGAAGTTTTAAGATTAAAAGTAAGAAAAACTAACACAATTAGGTGTAAGTGGACTTGCTAACTTTGGAAGAGCAAGTATTGTTGAGAACAATAATACTTACTATTTAAATTAAGGAGTTTGGATCAGTTATGTTATATTTGATCAAAGTAATAATTAGCATTGTGTATTTTTGTATTTGTTATACTCCAGTAAAATTTCTTAAAGAATACAACATGAAGAACAACTACATTATATACATGGAAAAAACTCTTACAAATGCAAAGCAAAAAGGGTATGCTACAGATCAATATGTGGAAAAGATACAATTCATATAACAACAAAAAAGAGAGCAGAGTATTTCGATAAATATATCAATAAAAATTCTGAGAGATGACAAATTATCACTTACATTTGTAGCTATGGGAAAGGGGATGGTTAGCCAGGGAAATTAAAACCAAACACCTAGCCACCTTTCCTTTGAAGATGTATGATGTACTAAGAATTCACACAATTCTGCACTGCCCATCTGTTCTGCTTCCTGCCATGACCTCCAGTTCCCTGCTCCTGTTCACATGCCTGCCCTCTGCTGCCATGCTGGCCCTCTATGACAGAATCTTACAGTATGTGCTGTTTCCTCCATAGCTTGTTTTCCATCATAGTGCTTTAATGCAGCAACAGAAACTTAGCAAATAGTGACCCCAAGGTTATACAGATTATTTATTGGGAATACCTTATATGTCCATGTAGAACTGAGTCTTTCTACCATGGGATCATTCTGCAGAAAATGGATTTTTTTTAACCATAAAAGAGTTTTATTTATTTTTTCAGATAATTTTAATGAATAAAAGTGGATAAGAAACCTATGCTGTATCATGTATATGCTTCTATGTATTCAAAGGGACTGTGAGTCCTCAGGAAAGTTTTCTTCAAGAGTGTTAGAATAAACTTCACAAGTGCATATCTTTAGGCAGTCAACAGAAATCACATGTTATACATGTTAAAATCTGATCTAAACTTTTGTTATGTAGACACACAGGACAAATAAATTAATTCAGTTGTATTTTTACAAAAGGTTTAAAAGCATTAACTCACCATTTCTATTCCCCCCATGAGAAGCCCAAACTTAATAAAGACACACAACACTAGTTATATATTATCATAAAGGGGGCAATGTTAAATTCTATGGCTTCCAATGAGGTCCTAATACAGTGTAAGATCTGGTAATAAAAGAGACACATTATCTTCCAGCATGGTATGGGGTAAGCACAGCACTGTATCATCTTAGAAAATCCAGGAGACATTAAGAATCCTGGAAAGCAACAGAGCACAGTCTGCACAGCTTCACATAGAACCTCAGCAGTAAATATAGCTCCAGTGCAAACTTTACTCGAAGAGATGCCCAGTAGACATTTTACTCAGAAAAGTGAAAAATCTTGTCAATCATTCTCATTTTAGCAGCTAAAGAGAATGGCTGTCCATTCACTACCCAAGCCCTCTAAACTTTCTTTAACTTCAGCAAAAAAAGCAGAGCAATGTTTATCAAGAAATGTTAAGTGCTGCACACTCTTCACCCTTTCTTAAATGCTCCATGACAATATGAATTTATTCCTGAAATCATCTCAGATACTGATAAGGTGAGCACTCGGAAGTGTGATACACAGTTTAGGCTTTGCTACCCTGCACCTTCATTGCATTCTCTGTAATGGGTTCATGGATTAAATACAATGGTCTCAAACATGTCTCAAAAATGAAAACAAAGATATAAAATCAAAACAACAAACTCACTGTGTACATACATATCAAATAAAACTCTCAGATGTGATTTTTTATGATCCTTGACAAAAAATAATTCTCTTTTAAAAATAACACAGAGAAAAGCATTCTGTTTTAATATTATTCATAATGATAAAACACAAGGTAAATATTTGGTGCTAATTATGTATCTTAAGAGGCTTCCAAAAAGACAAACACCAAACAAACCACCTCTAACAATTCCTATATATTATGTTCTACATTAACCTTACTTCCAAATTATACAGAAATTTGGAAAATTACAACATCAGTTTTTTATCGTCAAGTATATATTTAAAATGAGATGTTCACTACTATTCTCTCTGGCAAACATGGAAAGGGTGATTTAGAAATGTTCTCTCTCTCTCTCTCTCTCTCTCTCTCTGACATACACATACTCTCTCTCTCACATACATTCTTTTACACACACACTGTCTCTCTGACACTGACACACACACACACACACACACACACACACACACACACACACACACACACACAGTGTTTACTTCATTTGTGACTCCACATATCTGTAAGTAAATCATCAACCCTTCTTCTGTGCATATTAGTGGCCTAAGATTATCTATATGGCAGTAGACAACAGCTTGGAAAATTTGGTTACACACCCAAAGCCGCTACTTTGATGATAATGGCTTCAATGTTAGATGCTATCATCTCTCGGAGCAAGTCTTCCTGGTTTCTCTGCCAAAGGTAAGTTAAAGGCTGGAGATTAAGCCGTTTACATCTACAAAGTAAAAAGAAAAAAAACAAAAACAACAAAATAAATGATACAGTTTTGTTCTATTTTAGGGTCCCTAGCAATCTGATTTTAAACATAATGCTTCTTTCAATGATTTTAACATTTAAAATGCTCTTTCTTCTTCTCTTCCTCCTCTTATTTTTTTAAATGTCTTGTGGGGCCAGAGAGATGGCTCAGGGGATAAAGGTACTTGCTGTCCGAGTTCAATTCTGCAAATCCCATTGTGGAAGGAGAGAAACACCTCCCACGATTTGTCCTCTGGACTCCATGTATGCACCACGGGAAGTATATATCCACACATTCACAAATACAAAGGAAAAAAAATGGGAAAAAATGTAAAAATCCTTTTCACATTTAATTTTTTATGGACTATGTCCAAACATAAATTAATCTCCAGGAAGACTAGAAACATCAACTTTAGTAAAGCTTTAAGCTTAGAAATCAGTGTCAAAAGCATACCATGACAATTAATAATTATTCTCATTTTCAGTACTCCCATAGGTTGGCAAAGAGAGAAAAGTGTGGTGATATTTTATTTGTGCTTTGATAAATAAAGCTTGCCTGGAGATAAGGGGGAAAAGACCAGCCATTTTAAGTAAACAGTCAGGCAGCACACACCCTTAATCAGATCACTTAGTAAGGGTCTCTGTGTGTTTAACGCCATACTAGGGAGCAGAACCAAGCTTGGTGACACAGGCCTTTAATCTCAGTACCAACCATTGAGACCTGGAGGTCTGTACAGACAGACAGTGACAAGGATGTGAGGTAGCTGGGCTAAGAGCCTATGAGAGGGCAGAAAAGCAAGGCATATAAAGGCATGAGAAGACAGGAAGTAGCTCCCATTTGGAAGCTGCAGAGTTGGTGAGGTAAGGTTGGCTGGTGGCTTTCCCTATTTCCCTGATCCCTAAGGCTTTCACCCCTATATTTAGCTCAGTGTTTTTTATTTAATAAGACCATTTAGAAATTTGTCTAAAGAAAGGTACAATTGTGTGGGCAGAGGTGTGATGATCTCACATTTTACAAGTTTATCAGAATCTCCATCCACTAAAAGTCGATGCGGAAGAGGAGGTGAAACATTCCTAAGTGTTTTCAGTTTGACTAGGTTTTAGATGACTGATTTGCTCATGGAAATGTATTGCCTATATCTTAAGCCACCAATTAAAAGTATTATTAATTCATATTCTTAATTTATATTCTTAGTTTTCTAAGAGTGATTTGACATACCTAGGGGATATGGTCACTGGAAAGCTGCTCATGTTCAAGTGGATGGGCATGTAGCACATGCACATAGACAGCACTATTCAGACTCAGTGTGCTACTGAAGAGAAGAGGAGGGGCAGGGGGACTTGTGGGGTTCTCAGGAGAGGAGGTAGCAGGAAATAGTGGGATTATGGTAATGTCTATTGTCTACACATATAAATTTCTCAAAGACAAAAATTTAAAAAATAGTAAACAAATACGGCTCTTGTTAATTAGGTAAACATATGTTTAGCTCTATAGAGCATCTATAACAGACGTGCTTATGATTTGGGTACAATTATTTATTTTTCTATTCATTAACAATGTTATTTATTTATTTATTTTCACATTATTTTTTTTAATTCATCTATTCATTTTACATCCTTGCTGCAGCCTCCCCCACCCCAGACTTTCTCTCCCAACCCCTCTTCTCCATCCACCCCTCTCCCCAGTCCTCTCCTCTTCTGTCTCCATCCAGGGAAGGGCAGGTCTCCTATGAGTATTAATAAAACATGGCATATCAAGCTGCAGTAAGACTAAGCACCTTCTCATGTATTAAGGCTGGGCAAGCTGACTCAGTATGAGAAGTAGGGTCCCAAAAGCCAGTAAGAGTCAAATAGCAGGCCCTGTTCCTACTGTTAGGAATACTACAAGAAGACCAAGTTACACACAACTGTAATGTGTATGCAGAGGGCCTAGGTTAGTCTCATGTAGGCTCCCTGGTTGTCAGTTCAGTCTCTGTGAGCCCCTATGGCCCAGGTTAGTTGACCCTGTGAGCCTTCCCATTGTGTCCTTGACTTCTCTGGCTCCTACACTCCTTTCTCCTCCACCTCCATAAGATTCCCAAACTCCACTTAATGTGTGGCTGTGGGTCTCTGCATCTGCCTCCATCATTTGCTGGATGATGCCTCTCTGATGACAATTGGGCTAGGTACCAATCTGGTCACAAGATGCGGCCAATTCAGGCTACTTAGCCACTAGTGCTAGGGGTCTAAGCTGCGGTCCTCCCCATTGGAGGAGGTTGGGATTATAATTCAGTCCTTGTACATTCTGATATTAAGCTTAGTCCTCAATCCTGATTTTTAAATTATTTATGTTGTTTAAATATGAGATTGATGTTCTCTTACACATTTTCTACTCGCACACGTTGGTAATCAGAAAGTATGGCACCTACTGATACCCCTTCTATTTCTTCTTTTTCCTAAAAATAAAAGAAAAAAATATAAATTAAAAGAATAGGCATGTGGTTTGTATCATACTCTGAAAATTATACATGAACTCCATGTTATCTAAGAAGCCACCTTCAAATCAAAGTAATTTCCTAGAAATACCCATTTTGGAAAATTATTTGTACATATATTGTAATCATTCTCCCAGTGGCAAGGAAAGTAATTATTCCTCTACTTAAATTTTAACTACAGACCTACACTCATGGAGAAAGAAAAAACTTGGAAGCAGTTCCAAGGTGTTTTCACATTTATATACTTAATGATACTGAAATTCTACCAAAGACAATATTTTCCTAGATTGATTAATTTCTAAAATTTGCATAGTAGTATCAACAGATATGCTACACAATGGTTTTTAATCCATATCCTAGAAAAAGAGGAGCAGTACAGAGGCATCTAGAATGCAGAAAACTTTGAGGTACTGCTCAGTAAAACACAGTACATAAAGAATCCTAACACACATAGAAGGAATGGATTCTCATCAATACAGTCACAAGTGAGAGCACCATTATGGTCCAATGGGCTACAGACTTTGTCTAACATACTCATGAATGAACTGAAGGAGAATGTACAGTCACATATAATCATGTTTGCAGATGGCTAGGGTGGATCAAAAGGTAAAGATCAATCAAGTACAAAGACTCATATAAACAACTGAGGAATTTAAAAGAACTGATCTAAAATGAGACTTAATGTAAAGAAGTATAATATACTTAACCAAGGGAGAATAATATACACCATAGATATGAATCAGGGAAATGTCATTTATGATACAGGTATGAAGGGAGTGAATATGAGAAATTACTAATATGTCCTGAGTAGAAATTCTCTGAATACTTGTAAGAGAAAATCCATCTTCGCATAAAGGCTGATAGAAGAAATCACTTCAGAGAGATGTCTTTTTGGTAATACACTGGTTTACCAACCATGGTAACTTGACAACAGAAGTAATAGTGTTTCAAAGAAAACAAATCATGCTTCCAGGAACAATGAAATAATCCTGACATGCTGATATAACAGTGTATCCTAAAAGTATACCATAGTAAATAAACAAAGAATTATGTATCAGGAACTTTTCCTGACTTTGGAGAATTTAAAATATACCCACTAAAATTATAGAAAAATATCTTCCCCAACTGCCCCAAAATAAAATGATTATTCTTTTGGATAACATTTCAGGAAAAGAGGTATTTCCTTTATTTCCCCATCAGCAACTCTGTGAGGCTTTTAACCTTTTTTTAACCTTCCTAAAATTTTTCTTTTCATAAAGTCATTGTATTCTTCAGAAAAAGTCAAGGCACTATGTTTCTCATTAATAGATCATATAGTAGTAAAGGTATCAAAAGATCAACATTTTATTCTCTTCCTGTAACATATCTCTGAAGTTCTAACCTAGTAAATTTTGTAGCACTTGAATATATATATATATTCATACACCTTAAATTATTTTTGCATATTTGTATACATGTGTATACATGTGATAACACTCTGTTAATTATGGAAACAAAGATAGGCATAGGCAAAAGCTTTCTGTAAACAACTTCAATAGCAGAAGAAAAACCCCAAGAACTGGTAATAAGAGTGCATGGAATTGAAAGGCTCTGTACAGAAATGGACACTACCAACCATGAAGAGGCAGCATACAGAATGGGAGGCAAACTTTGCCAATTATTTTCAGACAAGGAACTAATATCTAGAATATATTAAGAACTGCAAAAATGAAGTTCAGTTTATGGCCATATTTGGAAGCCAACTGAGAGCCAATCTCTGGAGGATTTCTTTTATGGAGTCATAAAATACGGGACAAAGTGTGCATATATTTAAAATGCACATTCAGAGGGCTGGGGAGATGGCTCACCAGTTTAGAGTTAGAACTTCAACATGGAAATTTTGTGGTTACAGGATAAAATCTGAAATACTATCTAAAGAAGATGAGACTATAATTGCACACAGAATGCAAGTTTAGTGCTTAAGGGGATATAGAGAACTGTGTGTGAGTAGTCATCAAATGCTAGAAATAACAGCTTTCAGAAACCAGGGAGAATGTCACCAGTATACAGGAAGGCCACTGAATTTTGTATGTTCATTTGTGTCCTGCCACTTTGCTGAAAGTGATTATCAATCTAAGACATTTTGGTGGAGTCTTTAGGGTCTCGTGTATAGGATCATGCCATCTTCAAATAGGGATATTTTAATTTCTTCCTTTCTTCCTTTCATTTCCTTCTCTTGTCCTATTGCTCTGGATAGGACTTCAAGTACTATATTGAACATGAATGGGCAGCATGGACAGTCTTGTATTGTTCCTGATTTTAGTGAGAATGCTTTGAATTTTTCTCCATTTAGGATATTGGTTATATGTTTGTCATATATAGCATTTTTGACTCAAAATTCCAGTGCCAGGTATGAGATACCTCTTGGTGAGCTGTTAGTCAAGTAAGTCCCAGGGGCTCCCAAAATAATATGGGTTCTTGTCATTCCTCTTGGCTGTCCACCTGAACAAGTTGATCAGACCCTATTGCTAAAGATACTACACACCTTGGATGAAAGATACAGAACACTAAAACTGAACTAGAGGCTTCCTCCCTGGTGGTCAGGTTATATAGTACTGTAAGACACAAAGCAAACTGCTGGGGAAGACCTAATAACAAATCAGAAAGCATTAGAGGGGATAGCATGAATGTCTTTTTTTCTGGCTGAGCAGCCATTCATCTCTGGGTCTGTTGCCTTTCATTGCTAACAGAAGTTTTGCCAATTAAGACTGAGAGTTGCAATTGTCTATGAATACAAAGTTAAGTATTTAGAAGCAGCTTGTCAATAATAATAACTAAGTACCTTCCTACCCACCCCACACATCTATGATCTCATCAGCTGCAGGTTTTTAACCAGGTTTACAGTATCAGGCATTAATAGTCTTACCAAGATGAAAACCTATGAACTACAATATTAACCCACTAGGTAAGATTTGCTCATTAATATAACAATGGAATGCTTGTTACAAGAGCATGCTCCTTGATTGGTTTTGAGGTCTGCTCCATAAGAAGAAATCCATTCCTGGTCCTATAAACCCAGCTAACAATTCACAGCAGAAGAGGTTATAGATGTGTAATGCTCAAGGAGCAACATGGAAAAGGGGAGCAGGAAAAACATAAGAGTTAGAAGACAATTTGTTTTTTAAAATATAATCAACATCCAAAGCCAAAGAGGGTATGAGAAATGCATTAGCATCATTAAACAACAGTGTTGAGTTAGTTACTAACACATGACTTTCTGAAGGATAATTTCACAATGTGTATCATCCTGGTCTCACAAACCTTACAATTCTAAGTTTATATCAAGAAATATAGCAAGTGGAAGTAACTATAAACACGTTATTGTGAGGATATCCATCAAATTTATAATGTACATATAATTTGAACAAAAAGTGGAAAATCCTAGTCCCAAATAAAAATATTTGAATGAATTTTGGTATATTATGAAGAAAAATCAAAGCAGTCATGAAAAACATATTTTCCAAGGATATAAAGATATGAAACTATTTATGACTGAAAATTAGCTCAAGGAAATATACATGGAGCAAAAAACACATGAGTAAGAAAATCTATGGATATAGAAAAAGAAATAGATAAGATGATAATAATGATTTCCCAATAATATATTTCATTTTTGCATTTTATTTAAATTTTATACTTCCTCAAACATCATATTATTACTTCTTAATCATAGGAAAACTACTCAAAATTTACATGTGGATACATACATACATATATATGTGTGTGTGTGTATACATATTTATGTCTTTATTGTATGTCCTAGCAAGCTGGGATGCAAAATTACATGCTTACCAACACCAATTTTAAAAATTCTAATGTGTCCTATCTCACACACACACACACACACACACACACACACACACACACACACACACATATTTATATATACACACATACATATATACATAGACATAGATTCATAGATAGATATTAGCAGACTGGATATGGATGTGAGGTTTATTACTGAACATGATTTGGTAGAGTACAGAAGAGCACGGCAGAAAGAAAAGGGGAAGTGCTGTGGATATTGCTCTATATAAATAAAACACTGATGGCCAGTGACCAGACAAAAAGTATAGGTGGGACAAGGAGAGAGGAGAATTGGGAAAAAAAAAAAAAAAGAGGGAGAGACACTGCAGCCACCGCCAGGACAAGCACCATGTAAAGATGCCGGTAAGTCACCAGCCACGTGGCAAGGAATAGATTTATAAAAATGGGTTAATTTAAGATATAAAAATAGTTAGCAAGAAGCCTGCCATGGCCATACAGCTTAAAAAGTAATATGAGCGTCTGAGTGATTATTTTATACGTGCATTGTGGGACTGCGGGGCTTGGTGGAACCTGGAGAGAAGCCCTCCAGCAACAATAGTACATCAAGAATATCCACATTCAAGGCTAGATGTGGATTCTTCTGTGATATGTAGCTAATGCTGTGTGTCCTTATTCATATACAAAGCTCTAGACAGGGGTTACATTGATGAATACATGTGATCATATATCAATAGTTATAACCTTAAACAGAATCTAGACAGGCTTAAAGGTAGAAACTTAAAACTCAGTTAAGATTTTGTTCATTAATATTCACTTGACTGAATGTTGAATATTTGGCTCATGAAGTCCTCTGAATTGGAACCAATTTTTTTTTGTAGATGAAAATGAGGCCTAATTATTCTGAAGTTGAGAAGTTATGCATCTTACATTTATCAGTGATATTGTTTTCTTTGAAAAATGCCTCAGTTATCAGTATTATTCTGCTAATGAGTTCTTGCCTGTTGAGAAAAAAATGATCTGCTGAATTTAAAGTGTTTTTCATCTGAAAGGCATTCTAACATTTTTAATATGAATCATTCATTAAAGACATACTCTTGCATTATCCTCTAAGTGGCAATATTTGGACTTCTGGCAACATACCGTTATTAAGT